GAGAAAAATTCATTTTATAAAATACTTATCAATCTTGCAGTCTCTAGCTATGGCTTGGGCTGCTTTTGGCTTGGGCTGCTTTTGTGTTGGTTATTTTCCTTTTCTTTTTTTTCCTCTTCTCCTTTTCACCCGTCAATATTGTTACTAAAAATCCTGCCTGTCTCCACCTTTATATGTGGGCAACTTATTATCTTGAAATCAAGTCCTGGGCTGCTATTATTTTTGTACTAGGACCTGCTTGTTAGTGGGCATCTGGGTATGAATCTTAATATGATTTAAGATAGATAGCAAGTCTGAAAGAAAATTTTCAGTATTGTGGTACATTGGGAAACTCCCAGTGCCAGCACACAAGCTCCTTTAGCTGTTAATGGTAATACCTGAAATCAGAGGAAACTGTCACTTTGATGTATAAATAAATGCATATTGTACTAGTAGCAATACAATCTGAAAGAAAAGCTTATTTATTATAAATAAAAATAAATATTATTTATTTTTAAATAAGAGAGTCATCAACCATAGTTAACTAGCACTAGTCAATTCTTACTGACTACTAATTTACTTCCATGGCATAATGTAATTCTGGACTAGCTCTTTGGTGAATGAGAATAAAATGTAAAACAATAAAACCTTCAAAACCAAGCAAATGAATTCTCCCATCCCTTAAGAAATGAAAAGAAAGAAAATGTAGGCGTATGACTTGAGATATACATGAGAACCAGATGTGGCAAGTAAAAAGATACTCACTTTTCCCCTTTTGCACATGCCAAGTAAAAGCACAGCCTAAGCCCGTGGGTGAGAAAATTGCAGTAAATTGCCCAGCTTATTTTATTTCTATCTTTGAAACTTAGATCTCCATACAACACCCAGAACCCCAGGAATCAGAATCTAATTTTTGAACCCCCAGGCTATTATCTGCAGCTGTGCAATGTTAGAGCATACTTTAGATACATCACTATTTGAAGACACAGGCTAATTTTTGTCTAGTAATAAAATTGTTATGTCTGTTTGCTGATGAAACTCTGTTATCTCTCACATGACTTGTGTAAGGCAGGTACAAGCTGCGAAGTAGTGAATCACTCAGATCTGATGTTGGTCATCTGGTTACACAGATTAAAACCAGTAAATCCCAATTTACTAAGAATACCCATGTAGTTTTGATGTGCTCATGGTAGTTTAGACTTGGATCAGAGGTTTGGATTCAGAGGTTAGGAGCTCCTATTTTATTTGAGAGTAGATGGGTAGATATGCTATGCACAAGGCAGACACTCATCTGCTAGACGTGTATGTAGGTTGGACTGCTTCAGTGTTGTATGGAGCTACATCCTGATGGAATAATAGCATAAGTCTTGGTACATTTTTATAAAAGTATTGCTGTTGTTAGTGTCAGCTTCTCAATCCAACAATGGAGAATTTCTTGGTATTTTGAAGAGCTTGTTAGGAAGCACCAAACAAGGTTGTTCATATTTCTGGAAGAAAGGGCTTCTCTGACAGTGACTACTCTCTTTTCTTTCTTTTTTTCTCTTCTTTTCTTTTTTTTTAATCTTGTCTCCAAGTACACAAATGCACTCAGTCAGCATTCATGTCAGTTTCTGAGAAGTGTTGAGAGATCTCAATATCCTCTTTTATACAGCCTTCAGTTAAAAGTTTTTGTTACTGTACAGGAATTTTCTGAGTCATAAAGAAGACAGAATGTCCCACATGCGAACAAATCTTCGCATATGGGACAAAACAGAAGTATGAGACATGTAGCCTTCTCTTACACTAACCTGTCAAAACCGTAACTAATAAGGGTATTGGAGCCACATGGAATGAGAGCTGCATGGTCCCACTGGTATGTGGCACTCTGCTTCCTGCAAGGTACTGTTTAGCATGCAAAGTACAAGTTATGAATCTAAAACCTCTGAATGGGAAGGTATTCATTCATATGAAAGATTTTTTTTTTTTCTTGGGACATAGTACCTTTCAGTGTACACAAGCTGGAAACTCATTCAAATATTAGAAAGTCAACAGAAGGCAGAATGTTATCTAAGGAAGTTTGGAACTGGTAGTCCCAAACCCTCCTACTTCAAGGTGGGCTACATCTTGATATATTTGGCTCCTGAGCAATGAGAGGGAGGATGATAGCAGGAGCTCATAAATTTCATCGTGCACAGTAGTTGATTGGTTAGAATATACATTAAGTACTGGGTGAAGAGGAGTTTTTTTTGGAAGTAGACTGTTTTATAACTATATTTTAAATGTTTCTTCAAATGCCTAAAGCAAAAGATAGCATTTCTTTTTAATCAGGGTATTTATTTGTTGAAATTAATGAATAATTTATTTCCTTGCTATCTTGGTTGTATGTCTTCTTTCTGTGGATCCTTGTCAGGTTGTACTTCAAATGGATATTTTTAGACAGCAGTGTTGGTCTTGGGGAATAATTGAAGCATAGCAGTAGGTGAGTTATATGTCCCTGTAGTTGGCCTTTGGACCTTTTGAATGTCAGTTTTTATAGTAATTTTGTTACTTGAAAACATGCTGTGGTGATTAAGTGTTCACATCTTTTATCCCAGCAAATCAGTTGCCATCTTTACATTGATCAGTCAGGAATACTGCAAGCCTTACTATGTTGTGTTCAGCTGTCTTCGTGATATACATAAAACCAGTACAGGGTAATTTTTCCATCTGACCTTCCCTCAGTCTGATCTTGTCTCTATTTTTGTTAATGCAGATCAGGTAGTGTGACTCAAAGGGGTCTGAATGCACGTCTTCTAAGTATGTTTATGAGTTTTTGTCTACTTATTCGTCTGTTTATTTTGACAGTGGCTTGTGTGCACATGTTTTTTATGTATTTATTTGCACGCCTGCATGTACTTGTCAAAATACCTTCCAGAGTTTGCTTCCAAAATGCTGGACCTGGTTCTCAAACTTGTGCAGTTACTTTGCTTTAAAAGACTTGTGGCAAATATAGGTAAGTGAAGGAACAAGTGAAATCCAAGAGTGTTTTTGTACTGAGAGGTCCAAACTAACAGGTTGATGAAATAATGAAATTTCTTTAACAAAGAAATCACAGGGATACCTTTGAATAGTCATACCATTTACAGCATATTTAATTACAAAAGCATCTCATGTGAAATAAATAATGGACAAAATTAATCTATGAAAGCATCCTGGACTAAAACAAAATGTCACAGAAAGAAAACAAGAAAATTTTGATAATTTCTGTTTATTGGCACGTTAAATGATTTCAGCTGATTATCTCAGGTGATGCTAAAGAATTTAATCTCCAAGAAAATGAAATTGCCCTCTGAGACAATTAAAAATAGACTTAATGGCTTAACTTCCTTCATCAGAGCATAAACATGTAGTTGTATATGTTTTAAGTACTCAGGCAGAAGTATATGTAAAAAAAAGGAATTTATTTGTAGTAAGGTACAAGGATTGTCTAATTTTGCTTTGATAGATGAGAGTTTGAGAATATTTTCTTTAGCTTGAAAGCTCCATGTTCCAGGATCTCTTTAGACATGACACTTTTTCAAAAAACATAGATTTTCAGATTTCTAAAATATTCTAGGAAATAGATCTTGAGATAACCCTTCTTAGAAACTGTGTGCTCTAATAATACAAGTTCAAACAATTTAATGTATAAGAGTCAGTTGAGTTCTAACTAATTTTATTCAGCGTTGTGATGACTTCATAGCATTTGATGGAAATAAATTAAGTAATAGTTGATATATGAAAACAAACTAGATATTCCCTCAGCCTGTAAGCATTTTATGATATACATATTTCTGTGGAAAATCTTTGCTGAAATTATACATACTACAGTTACTGATGCAGTCATTCTCAATTTAAAAGATTATTTCTTCAACAAAAATAAAATTCCAAAACAGGATAAATTGTGGCCTCACTTGATTTTTGCGCTAGTTTCATCCCAAATAGATTGTATTATGCTGTGAAGATAGAAAAAATGATATAAAAGTGATATAAGAGCTGACATAAAAACAGAGTACTACAATGGCATCATGACCATCATTATAGCCTCATGATGCGCAGACTTCTCCACAATTCCCTGGACTTTCAAGAGTATGGTTAAATGCTTAACCTACCTGCAAAGATACTGCCATGGGTTATGCCAGTCATGAGGCAGTTTGTGCAAAGACACCATCCAGATATCTGACAAGAACTTTAGCTCCAGTAGACTTTAGCATATGCATGTTATGCCCACTTTTGGAAGCAAATCTAGAAGATTCACCCCAGTTTTTTCTCACTCCCAGTGACAGATACTGTTGAATTTTAACATCTTTCATAATGGTACTTCCTTTTTTCCACAGAGGTGCAGGGCAGAAATCTTGGACAAAAAGTCTGATCTTGTCTTAATATTAGCTAACCTTCATGTAATTCCTTTCTTGAATGACCCTGTTAAAGCCATTTCCCAGCATGGGTTATTAGTATTAGCATTTTCTACCTTTTTACTACTATAATAAATGAAAATACTAAATCACATCTGTCCCTGAACTGTTTATTAAGAAATTTGCTTGCTGGTATTCTTTTCAGCTTTCCCTGTTATAAGCTGCTTTTTTTTTTTTTGTTTTGTTTTTTTGTTTTATTGAGACTTACTTCTCTCCCTTTTAATTAACTTTGTTCCATTAACCAATAGCAGATAAATTCCCTTTCTCATTAACATTATTTTTTACTTTGATTGTATATAAAGTGGACCAATTAAGATAGAAGGAAATTAAAAAAAGCACATCAACGCATTATAAATTGAGTGTATTACAATGACCAGGCTAAACATAAAACTATATGTTGAATGAAATGTGACACTTAAATAAAACAAAATGTTTATGGAACAATTCTGTGACATAGAACAGCAAAATTACAACAACCTGCTTTAGACATAGGACAAATCAAATGGAAAAATAATAATTGCACATTGCCTTTTAATGGTTAGTTACACTTTCTCCCAGAACTCAAGTCTAATTATAATGCATTTTTCCACTCTTTCTTTTTCTTTACAGTACTTGGGCTGTATAGAAGTCTTACGGTCAATGAGATCTCTTGACTTCAGTACTAGAATGCAGGTTGCAAGGTAAGATTTTGTACAACTACATTTTTTAAAGTAACTTCTGAATTCTGCCCGCAGAGTAAAAGGCCTGAAAGATGGCAAAACATGTGGTAAAGGATTTTTGGATATGATAAGTCCACTTCTAAATTTTGCTTTTACATGTAAATCCCTCATGTGGTATTAATATTAATACAGTTTCAGCAGGACTTAAAAAACTATTTTCTCTGTGGATTTTTAATATGCCAGGAGCTACTTTAGAAAATTTTTTGCCTGTTCATTATGCCAAGTAAGGCACTTATCTGGGTACCAATTTAATGGCTTTTAAGCCAGTGAGAATTAGAATATGCTTAAAATCTATGATCTCAAAATTAATCTAGGGAGCTGGTTTGACACCCATGTTTATGGGTTTTATAGTAATTTCTTACGAAAAGTTTTCAGATAATGAACTGCACAAAGAATATAAAGGAAAATATATCACCCCAATGATACCAGAGACAAGAAAAAAAAAAAAAAGAAAAAAAAAGATGAATGATTACTTTTTCAGACTGTGTGCAGGAAACAATAAGTTCATATTAGATTCTTATGACAGTTCTTTTAAATGTGTCATGGTATTTTTGTAAGAGCGGTATATAAGTACAAGACTAAAGAAGTAGAAATGTCCATGATTTTTTTTTTTCTATGAAAAATATTTTCTGAGAACTACAGGTATGGTGTTTTGCAGGCATTTTCACTTGAAAATCTGAGTCATTGATTCCAGAGGAATGTAGAAATGGTGTCTTCTAGAAACTGGAGACCACTTTTTCAAATTCTGGAATTGAAATGATAAAGAAATCCTTTTCAAGGAAACACATATAAAGTGATATGACTGGATACAGTGCTTGAATTTCAACCATTTGAGGCATCTTACACTTGACAATAAATAAATCTGTCATAAGCCATATATCATACCATAAACAGCTAAATATTTCTTTTATTAAATGAGAAAAATCACTTGTTTTTAGGCTTAGATGCTAATCATATGGTCTATGTGCATTGACTTTGAGTTATACCTGCACACAGCAGCTTTGAATTGGGTCATGTAAGTCCTCACAAAAATTTAACCATTGATTTGTCAAGATGCTGCACTGATGAGAGGCATAGAAGCCAAAGGACAGGTAAATGACCAAATCCCATTTTTCAAACAATGTAGACTATGGAGGCATTTGATAATTTTACTACTGTACTTTTAGAAACGCATAATGTACATTTCTGTTGTATTTCAGCAGTGACCTTTGAAAATTATTTCATATTTAAGCACACTTGTACTTCCAATGTAGTTGGTACTTTTATATTTACCACTTGGAAATTCAGTGATACCGGCTTATGAAACAGTTGTGATAATTATTTGATTTGTTTTCTATATGTGGAAGTAAATTAATCTTAATTTTTCTGCACAGTTCCCTTTACTGTATGCTTTCATTGTAATATTATTGTACTTTTCTTATTTTCTAGCTTAAAGGCACTACACTGACATGAATACATAAGCATATTTGGTGATCTGAAGCAATATGGTCTACATAAACAAAATATCTTTGCCTTGTAGTTCCTCCAATAAAAAACCAAAATGTTTATTGGCTTCTACTGTGAAACAAACTTGGAATTGTATTATTTTTCTGTTGAAGTTATAGCATATATCACTACATGAAATAATTTTGTTATTCCACCTTCCTCTAATTATATCTAGAGCACAGAATATTTTTTTTCAAGCAGAAAGCCATATCTTCCTGGTTTGCTTTTTATTTTGTATTTACGGTTTTCTATTTATCATAAAACAATGAAATCTCATCATTTTCATAATGCAGTTCCTGATCTAAAATTTTTCCTAAAAAGGTAGCTTTTGAATTGGGACCTAGAATCTTAATCTGCGTTTCACTAATTCATCTGGCTCTAGACATCCCCTTGTCATGTCCTAGGTTTTCAGTACTCACATGCTTTGTTATGTAGCAGTTCACATACAAGCCTGTTGCTTATTAAGAAAATATTAAGGAATTGCTAGGATTCCCACATGGTAATTAATTTTCTGGTGTATTTTAAGAAACATAACATAGGCCTCAAGGTATGTACTGAATTAATAAGGCTGATGTTCTGATGTTACAGGCACCAATTCCCTCTTAAGAAGGCACCTGGTGCCTAATCATCTGTGCAGCCCTTTGATTACGAATAAAATAAAAGCACCCGAAAGTTACATTTATGTCTACTACATCATACATGTATTTTCAGGCATGTCCATTGCTGATTTCTCTGCAGTTTGCCACCAGTAAAAGAAAACTCTCCTGGTAGCCTGATGTGGTGTGGCCAAGGCTTAGGTCTGTAGCGTTAGCTGAGACTGCAGCAGCCAAGGAGCCAAGGGCCATACCTGAAGTAAAACCTTCTCTGTGTAAACCTCTCTGTGCTGTTTTCTCTAATCAGAAAACCACATGTCACAGCAGCTGCAGTCCCTTTCTGACCCACAACTTTATAAAATTATCCTACTGCATGCATCACACCTGCTGGATCTGTTATTTTTTCAAGACCTTTCAAAACCAGTCATAGTAGAAAGTGATCTGTCTTGGTCTGATATGACTTCTGGCATTATGCAGTATTATTAAAAAAAAAAAATAAAGAAAAAAATGAGTCAAATTACTTGATTTATTGTGAAAGCCTGGATGCATTTCTTCCTAATAAGTAGGCATCATGTCTGACACATCCAAAGCACTTACTCCCCTTCTAGCACTGTATCGCATACCTGTCCCTGCTTCCTTTCTTAACCTTACTTTTTCTCCACATTTCAGAGCTTAAAGATAGGAAGTCAGTTATTAGAAATCCTAAGTTTGCCTGTTTTCTGCCTTCAAGTTATTCCATATGCCGCTTTATACCTCTTTCTGCTTTGAGGATGAGCAAATCCCCAAAAGTAAAATAAGCAGCATCAGTTCCTAGAAGAAAAACTTGTGGGGCTCAGTAATGGGAGGGTAAGATGTAATCTCCTGCTCTGCTTGAAAACTCCTGGTGTCATTTTAGACAAACTGTTAGTCCCAGTCACAGACATTTCTATGATTAAATGAATTAGTGCTTGTAAATGGCACTTAAATTGTTGAGTGAGCACTTAGAAATTACTTAAAAATTGGACTGAGATTTCCACTTATCTGGTGAATTAGAGGTAAGAAATTCATGGGAAAAGGTTGTGTAGATAATTTGAATGGCTTTGAAATCACAGCTGTTATAATGCATTAGGAAAGTATATACATCAGTGTGCATGCATAGACATATCTGACAAATGAAGAACTTTGGCTTCAATTTCAGGAACTACATCAAAGCCCCAGAGTAAATACTTTGGTCAGCAGCCTTTCCTTCCTTATTGCAGTCCTGTGAAATATCAACTTTTGCCATCTAATGCTGTCTTAGCTATCCTATCCTGTAACTTGTATTTATTTTGCCCTTTCATTTTTGTACAATATAATGTTAAAACTTGCACCAATAAATTTATCTTCATGTGAGAGCAGTGAGCAAACACTTTAACTTGGCATATTCTTCATCAGATCTTAATAACCTTGGTGGTTCCTTGCAGTGGTATTACTGCCCTAATTTTGAATTGAAGGAAAAATGAACAGTTGTGTAAAATTTCTAACAGTTTTTTACCTTTATCATTACACATATGAAATCTCAAGATTCTCTTACTACAGGGGAAATAGAAGAACCAGAGTAGTATTAATCAGTTGTATTGTATTTATTCTTTCCTTTAATGAATGTAATATCATGTGAATCCTTGAGCAAATAAGAGGATGCGCCAGACAACGGTCAGCTGTTACACATAATGATAAATGAAAGCCAGCTGAATCCACGTGTGATAATTCTTGTAACACATGTGAAGTCAAGATGACTTTCTTGGGTATCAAGACAAACAAAAGCATTTAATTGTCAACATAGTGGAGGAACAGGAGGACTAGCAGACAAGACTACTGAGCTAACCACGGGTGTCAAGTGGTTAAAGTTCATCCGAAACCTACCATCATTGTCATAGAAAGGGGCCACTCTTAAGCTTCTTTGGCCAGGCTTTGGCCAAGCTTCAAGCTTTTTGTAAAAACAAAAGTTAAAAATCAGGTAAAATTTTTTTGCAACATGTGCAGTGTTTGCAGTTCATGTCATATGTTTGCATGCTCATTGTTAAAGCTATAGTAGGACAATGGGTCCTCACTTTTGTGTTGTATACATGAATGACAGGCACTGGTTTCAATTAGATGTTGCATGCACTGTTTGTTGTACATCTGAGACTGAACGACAAGTATGCATGTTCATTGGCATTTAATTGAATGCGTCAGTTTACTGCATGCAGCATCATAAAGTCACACCTCCCCATGCCATGTAAAATATTACATTGCATTTTGTTTTACTAGCAATAGGTCAGAGAATGGAAATACTTCATACCAGCAGTGGACCCAAATCCAAACTCTGATCCCAGTACTCTACATTAACTCTATTGGTGTCAACAGCTTTAAAAATATTCCTCTCCAAATTTGAGGCCTGAATTTTATTAATAAAATTATTAAACCAAATCCATTTATGGCAATATCCCTGGAGGAGAGATGGTGGAAATCCAAATGTTAGAGCTGTATTTGAGTCCAATGCTAAACAATATGAAACAGTTTAGTTGATGTAGTGTTTCACCTATATCTTTGTTGTTTGCAGAAATTGTCAGCAAGCATCACTGAAGAAAAGGGTGGAAGACATTGCAAAAAAAGACATTGCAAAGCAAGAATGTGTCTCCTGTGATTCTTGAAGGCAAATAGGTAATCTGTTATCTGCAATGAGTTCTGTATTCAGCGTCCTCCTTAACATGCTGTCATGCTTAAAGGTGAGTTAAGTTAAGGTGTTTTGTCTCTGCCTTCTTCCGTGTGAACTCTGAGTGTGGGGTGGCGTTAGGAGATGGCGGAACTCATAGACCATTTGCAGTTGCAGGAAGAGGTTGGCACAGTCACTTCACTGTCAAAGCTCTGGGAAGCATGATGTTA